TATATACCCATAGACACATATATATATCCATAGACTCAGGTACCTCCATATACCCATATATATACCCATATACATACCCATATATATACCAATAGATGCAGTTACCTCCATATACTCATATATATACCCATATACATACCCATATGCCCATAGACCCATATATATACTCATAGACCCATGTACCTCCATATACCCATACCTGTATACATACTCATAGACCCATAGACCCATGTACCTCCATATACCCATACCTGTATACATACCCATAGACCCATAGACCCATGTACCTCCATATACCCATATATATACCCATAGACCCATACCTATACCCACAGACCTGGATACCTCCATATACCCATATATATACCCATAGACCCATACCTGTACCCACAGACCTGGATACCTCCATATACCCATATATATACCCACAGACCCATATATAAACCCACAGACCCATATATAAACCCATAGACCCATACCTATACCCACAGACCCATGTACCTCCATATACCCATATATATCCCCATAGACCCACATCTATACCCATAGCCCCATGTACCTCCATATACCCATATATACCCCCATAGACCCACATCTATACCCATAGCCCCATGTACCTCCATATCCCCATATATATCCCCATAGACCCACATCTATACCCATAGCCCCATGTACCTCCATATACCCATATATATCCCCATAGACCCACATCTATACCCATAGCCCCATGTACCTCCATATACCCATATATACCCCCATAGACCCACATCTATACCCATAGCCCCATGTACCTCCATATCCCCATATATATCCCCATAGACCCACATCTATACCCATAGCCCCATGTACCTCCATATCCCCATATATACCCCCATAGACCCACATCTATACCCATAGCCCCATGTACCTCCATATACCCATATATATCCCCATAGACCCACATCTATACCCATAGCCCCATGTACCTCCATATACCCATATATATCCCCATAGACCCACATCTATACCCATAGCCCCATGTACCTCCATATACCCATATATACCCCCATAGACCCACATCTATACCCATAGCCCCATGTACCTCCATATACCCATATATATCCCCATAGACCCACATCTATACCCATAGCCCCATGTACCTCCATATACCCATATATATCCCCATAGACCCACATCTATACCCATAGCCCCATGTACCTCCATATACCCATATATATCCCCATAGACCCACATCTATACCCATAGCCCCATGTACCTCCATATACCCATATATATCCCCATAGACCCACATCTATACCCATAGCCCCATGTACCTCCATATACCCATATATATCCCCATAGACCCACATCTATACCCATAGCCCCATGTACCTCCATATACCCATATATATCCCCATAGACCCACATCTATACCCATAGCCCCATGTACCTCCATATACCCATATATATCCCCATAGACCCACATCTATACCCATAGCCCCATGTACCTCCACGTGCCCCCCATGTACCCCCGCGTCCCCCCCAGGTGTCGCCGCGGCTCCCGGGTCCCCCCGCCCGTTCAGCACCGCGGACAGCGGCCGCCGCCCCACCGATGGGGGGGGGGGGGGGGTCCGGCTATAGCGCGGTCACGTGGGTCCCGCCGCCGCCCCTATATAGCGCGGTGCCGGGCGGGCGGCGAGGAGCGGAGCGGAGCCGGGGGGAGCGGCGGCAGCGGTGAGCACCCCCCATTGTCCCCATTGCACCCCATTGTCCCCATTGCCCCCATTGCCCCCATTGCACCCCATTGTCCCCATTGCACCCATTGTCCCCCCATTGCCCCCCATTGTCCCCCATTGTCCCCCATTGTCCCCATTGCCCCCATTGCCCCCCATTGTCCCCCATTGCCCCCCATTGTCCCCATTGCCCCCATTGCCCCCCATTGTCCCCCATTGTCCCCATTGCCCCCCATTGCCCCCATTGCCCCCCATTGCACCCCATTGCCCCCATTGTCCCCATTGCACCCATTGTCCCCCCATTGCCCCCCATTGTCCCCATTGTCCCCATTGCCCCCCATTGTCCCCATTGCCCCCATTGCACCCCATTGTCCCCATTGCCCCATTGCCCCCCATTGTCCCCATTGCACCCCATTGTCCCCATTGTCCCCATTGCCCCCCATTGTCCCCATTGCTGCCCCCCCCATTGCCCCATTGCCCCCCATTGTCCCCATTGCCCCCCATTGCCCCCCATTGTCCCCCATTGTCCCCATTGCCCCCATTGCACCCCATTGTCCCCATTGCCCCCATTGTCCCCCATTGTCCCCCATTGTCCCCATTGTCCCCATTGTCCCCCATTGTCCCCATTGCCCCCCATTGCCCCCATTGTCCCCATTGCCCCCCATTGCCCCCCACTGTCCCCATTGCCCCCACTGTCCCCATTGCACCCCATTGTCCCCATTGCCCCCATTGCCCCCATTGCCCCCCATTGCCCACATTGCACCCCATTTCCCCATTGCCCCCATTGCCCCCCATTGCACCCCATTGCCCCCATTGTCCCCATTGCACCCATTGTCCCCATTGCACCCCATTGTCCCCCATTGCCCCTATTGCACCCCATTGCCCCTCATTGCACCCCATTTCCCCCCATTGCCCCTATTGCACCCCATTCCCCCATTGCCCCCATTGCACCCCGGGGCACCTCATTGCCCCTAGGGCACCTCATTGCCCCTATTGCACTCCGTTGTCCTTCATTGCCCCCATTGCCCCTCATTGCCCCCCATTGCCCCAGCGGGGGCACAGCACCGAGGGTCCGGTCCCGGGGAGATGAGGAGGGTCCCATGTCCCCGGGGGGGGGTGGGGATTCCCATTCACAGGGGTCTTGGGTCCCAAATCCCGGGGGTCCAGGGTTCCATGGGGGTCCCGTGGAAAACAACCCCAGGAGCAGGGGGGTCCCATCCGCGGGGAGGGGGGGGTCCTGTCCAAAGGGGGGTCCCTATATAGGGGTGGGGATCCCATCCCAGGGGTCTCATCCCTAGGGTGAGGTGTTCCCCCCCCCACGGTGTGACGCCTCCCGGCTGCCCCCTGACCGCAGCCGTGGGGGGGATGTGGGGGTCCGGGTTAGGGGGGCTCTTACAGGCGTCCGGCCCCAGAGCGGCAGCGATGCGGGTCAGGATGCTCTCAGCCGCCTCCGTCCTCGTCCTGCTCTTCCTGCCCTCGGAGACCTGCTCCCCCCTGCAGCGGCCGTGGGGCCCGGCCCCCCAACCCACCTGGGAGCCATGGCCCGGATCCCCGCGCCCCACCGCGTCCCCGCTGCCCCATAGACTGTGCCAGCGGCTGTGGGGCGAGCCCAGCGCGAAGCCCCGAGCCCCGCGGGCCCCGCAGCAGGGTGGCCGGAGGCGGGACAGCAAACCCAGCTCGCTGGACCTCACCTTCCACCTCCTGCGCCAGTTCCTGGCCATGTCCCGAGAGGAGAGGCTGGCGCAGAAGGCGCTCAGCAACAAGCTCCTGCTGCAGAGCATCGGGAAGTGAGCGGGGACCGGCCCCGAAGGAGCGGGGAAGGGGCTGGTACCGCTGGTGCCGCTGGTACCACTGATGCCGCTGGTACCGCTGATGCCGCCGGTGCCGCTGGTGCCGCTGGTACCACTGATGCCGCTGGTACCGCTGATGCCGCCGGTGCCGCTGGTGCCGCTGGTACCACTGATGCCGCTGGTACCGCTGATGCCGCCGGTGCCGCTGATGCCGCCGGTGCCGCTGATGCCCCTGGTACCGCCGGTGCCGCCGGTACCGCTGATGCCGCCGGTGCCGCCGGTACCACTGATGCCGCCGGTGCCGCCGGTACCACTGATGCCGCTGGTGCCGCTGGTACCACTGATGCCGCTGATGCTGCTGATGCCGCTGGTACCACTGATGCCGCCGGTGCCGCTGATGCCGCTGATGCCGCTGGTGCCGCTGGTACCACTGATGCCGCTGGTGCCGCTGGTGCCGCTGGTGCCGCTGGTACCACTGATGCCGCTGATGCCGCTGATGCCGCTGGTGCCGCTGGTACCACTGATGCCGCTGGTGCCGCTGGTGCCGCTGGTGCCGCTGGTGCCGCTGATGCCGGGTCCCGTCGCCGCGCCCCGTGCGTTGTTCTCGCTGTTGTGCATTAAAGTCGCCCTCGCACCTGCCCCGCTGCCCCTGTGCTCGGCGCTTCCCCTTTCCAGGCAGGGGTCCCTGATGCGGAGCCCGCTGCATCCCGCCCCCCTTGGCGGGGTTTGGGAATGCTCTGACACGGAGGTCGGGTACCGAGCATCCATCCATCACCAAGGGGCGCGGCTCGGTGCCTCCCGTCACTCACGGACACGAAGTGGAGCGATCCCAGATGCATCCCTGGGTGAGAAGCGACAGCGCAAAGTGCTCTGAGCGCTGCAGCCCGGGGCTCTCCATCTGCAGCCATGGGGACACACAGACACACGGGTACATGCAGGTGGAAACCCACCATCAACCACACAGCGAGAAGCGAGGTGGCACAAGCAGCTCCCAGCACCAGGATGGGGCAGCGCATGCAGTAAAAGGGGCTTGGGACAGGTCTGGAGCTGGTTGGGATGCCGCAGTGGTGGTTGTGTCCCAGCACAGCCTGTGAGGGAGCAGCATCACCATGAGCCCGTCACCATCACCCACGAGTGATCACCATCACCCATGCAGCCGCACAGCAGCACCCCACAGGGACCAGAAGGTCCCTCATCCTCCTCATCCTCCCTTCAGGGCTGCACTAAGCAGCAGCCCCGGTGCTGAAACACCCCAAAGAGCAGCCCTGGTGCTCTCAGCCCCAGTTTGATCTCTGCAGCTTGATGGCTGCACAGGACAAAGCTGCTCCTCGCTTGCGGGCTGGTTGGTGGTGGGAAGCTGCATCCTCCCGTGGTGAGGAAGAGGAGGTCGGTGTGGGAGCTGCGGAGCTGCAGACAGGGAGCAGGGGTTTGTTAAAGCAGAGGCAACGGCCCCAGCCTGAGCGGCTCGGGAGCACCTTTAACCCTCACTGGGAAGCCTGGGACCCGGTCAGGAGGAGGAGGATGAAGGAGGAGAAAGGGACTCGGGTGCGGGACAGGCGGGCGTTGGGGTCCATCCATGGGGGCCAAAGGGGATGTTTCCCTCTGCCCCCCCCCCCCCCAGCTTCTACAAACGGGCTCAATCCAGGCCCCAGGCTGGGACCTGCACCCTGAGACCCGGCTGGGGCTTCTCCTCCTCCAGTGCTGCTGTGGGTGACCCCAAGAGCCGCCACTTCCCGTCTGTGCCTCCAAGTGCCACGGTGGGGATCAGGGTGCAATGGAAGCAGGTCGGAGCAAGCTGCTCCAGGGGAAGGGGTCCCTGTCCTGGCAGGGGTTGGAGCTGGAGGAGCTTTAAGGTCCCTTCAACCCAAACCAGGCTGGGGTTCTATGAAACCAGAGCATCAGTGTCAGCCCTTTCCCAAGCGTGCATCAGCCCCCAGAGGGGTCCTGGCCTCCTTGGGAAGGCCCCGAGGCACAGCCCATTGTGGGAAGGAGGGAAAGCATTGGGTAACCCATAGCAGGGCATGGGATGAGGGGAGTTCTGTGCTCACCTCCTTCCACTGGGATCTCCATCCAACGTGAATGAGCCTCTGCAGGAGGAATGATTCCAGCCATGGAGGGCAATAGAAGCCGCTGGTGGCCCCATGCAGTTCGTCCCCATGCACTCTGATTTACGCTGCCTCAGTCAGATACAAGCCTCTCAGCATCCTCTTTGTTCCCACCTCTCCATCAGCAGCACCAGAAGAAGCCTCCAACAGCGGGAGCTGCTTCCCAAGAGGTGTTTCACAGCCCACAGACTGCAACCAACCCCTTCCCCAGCACCCTGCAACCATCCCTCACCCCTACAACTCATATTGACACCCCAATCCCTGCCATTGCCCAGCATCCTAAAAAGCCCTTTGACCACTGACGCTCCAGAACTGCCATGGAGGGTGCAAGCAGGGGCAGAAGGAAGGAGATGCAGGCCCAACCAGGGGGACTTCACATCCTCAGCACGCACAGAGCCAAGGAGCATCCTTGGACCACAGGAACCAGGGGATCCCTCTGCATCCCTCCTCCGTGCCCCAGGGAAGAAAAAGGCCGCTGCTCGTTTCTGCCTTGAAAACATTTATTTTACAACAGTGGTTTCAGATAACTTAGCAATCTTTATTTGAGTTCTATTCGGACATACGAGACACGAATTACCATGCTAGAACAGAAAACACCTCCTCCTCCTCCTCTCCTCCCGGCGGGGATGTACAGGAGCTCAGTAGTATCGAGTGTTACAACCCACAGAGGTTCAGACAGCCACAGCTACTTACATACAAGTCAAAGTATGGTCCTTTAGTAACATAACAAAATATATATATGTCTATATTATAATTGCTTTGTCAGATGCATTTATAACTTCGATTGTGGGGTGGGGGGGGTTATTTCTACAGGCTTTTCTCTCGGTTAGAGACGGGCTCCCCCCATCCCAGAGGTGAAGAGCAACCGCAGAGCGTGTCCTCGGCATCCTGCAGAGGCCAACCCAACCGGACCATGAGGAGCGAGGGACTGCAGGGCCTTGTCACATGCAGGATGAACACAAACGTCCCGTGATGGCACGGACCAGACATCAGCACCCACACCAAGGTGATGGTGGGAAGGGTGGTGGGGGGGGGATGATGGGGATGGGAGGATGATGGGGATGGGAGGATGATGGGGATGGCAGGCTCCATCCGTGACGGACACACAGAGAGCTTCAAACGTGGCAGCGATAAAGGAATCGCCCCCAGACGTTCCCCTGTTTCTGCCAGGATGCAGAATCCCCCCTTGTTTCATCCGCCAGCCCCAAAATGGGAGGCCCAAGGATGCGGCTCAACCCACTGCAATGAGCGACCTGGTGCCTTTACACGCAGATCTCTGCCTAACTTCACCTTTACAACTTGTAGTAACTCCAGGTCCTCCTGACCCCAACCTGCAAGAGCGGCTGGACCAGGCAGTGCAAACACACCACGCTGCTCAGCACCACCTCCATTCAGTAAGGAGGGAACAGACAACTGCATCCCCTTTCCAAACCACAGCTCTCCCCCTGCGCTACCCCTCTACACAAGAGGATCCTTCCGCTGCTTCCTTCACTGGTTTAACCCAACAGACCTCGCTTGGTTTCATCCTGCAGCTGAGAGCAGAAAGCACCATTCTGCACAGACAAAGCTTCCCCTTGTCCCACCAGGAGCTCACAGCACGGCTCAGAGCTGGAATCCATGGATTTACCACCAAAGGAAACCAGCAGCAAGCACCAAGTGCACCCACTGTGTTACTATATACATCTGGGCATATATACATACATACACACACGATGTTCGACCCAAAGCCTCCAGCACAGGTTGGGACCTTGCTCTGGAGCTTGGTACTCTGTTGGAGAGTACAACACGGTGCAAACTAGGAGGCAAAACCCCCAAGTCACCATGTTCTATCCCACCTCCAGCCGGGAGCACATCAAGCGCATCCTCAACACAAGTCCAAGTCATTCCAGAGCTGGTCCCTGCCCTCTGCTGGGCTCCCATCCCAAGGGAAGCTGGAGCAGAGGGGCAGCTCACAGAGTTCAAGTAGATCGTTCCCGTTTGGAAGGGGGTGAGAAGCAAACGCTACAGACTGGCAGAGAAGGGAGCAGAGAACACAACAGCACTCGAGGACAAATGGCCATTTCATAGAAGAGCTTCCTCTACACATATACATATATATATATATATATAAAACTACCAGAAACTCCCAGTATCGACCCTTTTAACACCATGCATGGAACACTGGCATTTGATTTCCCAATGAAGGCTTTGTCTTCCGGGTTTGGCTTGTGCACAGGTCACAGAGCACTTCCCTTGCGTGGCTTCTTCTCCTAAAGGAAGCATCTTCTTGGAAGGAGAGGGGAGTCTTGCCGAGTCCCAGGTAACACTTCATCCTCATGGAGCAGCACTTGAACACTGATCAGCATCCTGACGCCGTGTTAGCTATCAGTTAATGTCCCTTTCAAGCTATTTGAAGCAGCTGTTGGAGTGATGATATGTTAGAAACTAGATGATTTCCACTATAAGACAGAGAAGCAGCATCAGATGATGAAGCACGTTAAGTCCAAACTGACCTCACGCTGAACACTTGCTCTGGGGGGGTTACATTTCAGTGCTCTAAGATTAACACATGTTTAAGCAGCATCCAGGATTCAGGACATGAAGTTGGGGCTCCCAAAACCCAGGCAGGAGTCTCCTGGTTGAATGTGACAGCAACATCCAACCTGCACGGGGTACAAATAAACCTGCAGCACAAATCCATTTCCAAGGGATTATCCAGGAATATCCAAAGGGCAGTGGCAAACACAGGGCACAGAGTAGCTGAGAAAAGCCTCTCCTAAAGAAGAATGTGCATAGAAACGCTCTGCTACAACCCCCCAAAGCTCACTGGGGTCCCTCCAACACAAGCCCTTTACGGATGGGACAGGAATAGCTGCTCCATTCGGCTCCTACAGCATTTAGATGACACAAAGGGGGTTGAAGACTCTATTGCTGCAGGACTTGGGGGTCCCCTGAGCCTTCGTCCTCAGGCTCTGCTC